CTGACAAAGCATGTCCAAAATACAACATTTTCAAAAAACAAGATGGCTGTCAGTCGGCCATTTTGAATCGCATCGCTAAACCACTGCATGTGCATATGTCCCACATAAGGTATTAGGCACATGCAAAGAATGAACAAAATCGGTCCACAGGATTCTGAAATATGACGTTGCATAGACTGACGCACGGACAGATGGACACACGGACGGTCGGACGGACAGACTCAGCAACTCACGGACGGTCGGGACATGTATCCTAACATGTATGATCTATGTACTAAGTTTGAATGAAAACTGACAAAGCATGTCCAAAAAACGACATTTTCAAAAAACAAGATGGCTGCAGTCGACCATCTTTGATCCAATTGTGAAATAAATCATCATGGACATGTATCCTAACATGTATAATCTATGTACCAAGTTTAAATGGAAACTGACAAAGCAGGTCCAAAATACAACATTTTCTAAAAACAAGATGGCTGCCAGTCAGCCATTTTGAGTTGAATCGCTAAACCACTGCATGTGCATATGTCCCACATAAAGTACTAGGCACATGCAAAGAATGAACAGAATCGGTCCAAGGGATTCTGAGATATGACTCCGGACGGACGCACGGACGCACGGACGCACGGACACACGGACGCACAGACGCACGGACGCACGGACGCACGGAGACCGAATTATAAGTCTCCGTTTTCGGACTTCGTCCGAACGGGGATTAAAAACGCATGCTACTTCTCATTCTTATATGGTGGTGACAGATGTCAACAACAACTGCTTTTGTGAGCTTACATTACATGCTTTTTCCAATTTACGAGAAAACGCTGACAGTGTCACTGTCTATAAAATATCGAAAGGTGTGCCGGATATCAGTTCAAAAGCTCCGAGTATCGTGCCTAGCAAATGACAAGTTTCTAATGTGCGTATAAATAACAGGATTCTCCTAAATCTCTTGGAGACACATTAACAGTTTCAGTTAACAGTTCCACAGCCCCCTGGGCAGAGCAGTGTGAAAGCTGTAAAATGCCCAAACAACTTTGGAGAGAGAGGGTCGTGAGCATTACCATGAACAAAACATTATTAAAAACAACTCGAATTGAAATATATGCATGCGTGCGGAGAATGTATGTATTATACGGGAACTCTAATTACAGGGGCTCCAATTATTTCCGTAGCCAGTTAAGCGCCTTTGTATCAAATTGTCTCGCATCGATCTGTCTGTTACGACTGGTGCAGGTGTGTGCATGATACTTCCATTCATAATACAGTCTTAGGTAAAGATCCTATATGCGCACATACGTTGTTGATATAACGTGAATGAGCAAATTTCCCCCCAATAACAGCTACACTACAGACCCGACACCAACGTTTTGCAGCCTCCAAATTCATCTCTTTCAGTGTTCACTGTAATGAAACACTGTGTGTATGTACGTGTGTATGTATACCTCTGCGCCTTTACACTATAGTGTTTTACACGTCGAGACACATTCAAAGCTTCTACAACATATACATATATTAGCGATACCATAGTCAGTATAAACATAGAGAACAAGAACGCATTATTCGAGCAGTTAACTTCCAGACTATGGTTTTGTTTTGGTTTCAAAACAGACTAACCTGATATTTAGAATTTGAATCGTAACATTAATTTTATTATAATATATGTACCATATAAAATAAAAACGTATACAGCTCACCTGCGATGCCAAATAGTAGCACTACTGAATACAGCAATACAATTGAGACTGTCTTTGCACTCGGTGGGTCATCGTGTTTCTCGGCTTTAATAGCAGTACGCCACATATCGTCTATGCTCGGGTAGATATCGGGATCCAGTTCAGCCATGATAATCTAGTTCCTAGTTATTCAACGTAAATAGCAGGATCAATTTCGCTGTAGTTGGGGTTGAGTGGGTTTTGTGTTTGCACTCAAAATATACGTGGATGTATTACTATGAGTGGTGACGATGATAGTATACTGCCGACTAAAGTCGAATAACCAATGTTCGAGATGCACATCACATGCCTCACCAAACTGGATTTTCCATTATTTCAATAGGGGGGTCGCCCAGGAAGAACGAGGGAACCTTCTTTTACGTCATTCATTATTAGTGGAACCAAACACATCAACACTATAATCAGTTACAAAACTCGACAAAATAGTATATCTCTATTAATCTCGGTTGACTCGAATTTGAGTATCAGTGCGCATAAGGAAACGTGGTGAACGATAATTCCGGTTGACAAACAAAATTATAATTCTCGTTACGATAAAATGTGTGTTTTCCAAACGAGGAACGTTTATTTAATAAATTAGACATTGAGAAATTTAGTCAGATTCAAATTTTTTACTATACCAAATTGTTCATCTAATATCAAGTATTTAAAAGATAATGCTCAATTACATTGATATCCATATGTGCGATACAGATCCAATTCAAAGTTTCGAGCATATTTCAATCAGACCCTGGTGTTAATGGCATGACGGAATTCAATGGATCTTTGGAAATGTTTGATCTTAGAAATTGTCATGAGAATACGCAGTTTTAAACAACCTAGACAAATACTTATTATGTCTTTCACATACTCACGTAGTTGCACTGATAAGTCTGAACACGTCAGTTCATCTTGCTATTTACTAACATGTTATCATATCAACTATTACCTTTATACTTCGACTTTCCAGTTGTGTTTTTCAGCATTTAATATGTTGTAATATATAAATGATTCGATCAAATATGGCCGCCGTAGGACATTTTTACATTACATTACTATTGTCTGCACATATTTATCAAACATATGACTGTGCCAATTGATACCTCATTTCCAGAATATAAAAAAAAACAAGAAGATAATCTTCATGGTTCTAAAATTCCACTTTGTAGTGAAAATCCGGATATATCTCTGTAGAATCCAATGTAATGCTCATGCGCAGTTCTTTCAAATGTTATCTATAAATTGGGGTTATCATGTATATCATGTTTGTGTTTTTGTTCCTGAATTGAACGAAAGTATTCGAGATATGATATGATACGACAAAGTTTTAACTTTAGCATTCACAAGATTTTGACATAAAAATAAGAAAAAAAATATGTTCATATGAACATATGGATCATCATAAAAATCACAATTGGCCATTTTCTCCTGAATAATGGTAAAACTATTTCGTGAAATTTATGCCGACTATTTCACACTAATATTACAGTCGATATATGTATTAAGTATGTGTATTTGAATCACGTAATTTGTATTACGTTTCAAAAAAACAAAAAAACAATCATCTTAATTAAAACCAGGTCCTGATTTGAAGTCGGTGTTTGCCCGCAGATCTTTATGCAAGGTGCTTGCACTTACTCGAGCACGACGTCCGCCTTTAAACCCGTCTTGTTATGGACTAAATTGCCTATTTGCAATCACATCAATAATCCTATCGAGTATGAACGTCTGCTTCGTCGAAATGATGTCAACTAATAATGAAAGCTATATTTGAACAACGATACGATACAGTGAATTATTATTGATAAAAGACGAATCATAACGATTTTATGAGATAATTACATTTATACTATCATCTCCTCGCAGACAGAAATTGCATTTACCGTCGCATGGCCGATTATGGAGTCACCGCTGGCCATAACGACGAATTCACTCATTAGGTCGCTGTAAATTACTATCATTTGTTATAGAAAAACTGTATTACTGTATTATTTTCTATATCAGACTTGCGTAAACGTCGCCATATTATAATTAATTTAATTAGTATCCTCTGAAAGTAACCAAATATATAAGACAACGTACAATATTGGTATGATATAATAAATAGTAGGATGAAGTCGTTACGCTAGTTCACTAGACTACGTTGCTCTTAAAACGCGTTTTGTGTGCATATTTCAAACAATTCAGGCTGGCATTATGCCGCATATATATATATATATATATATATATATATATATATATATCGTGATTTCCCGGCTGTTACAGTTCAGATATAAATATGTACACAGTTAAACATGGCGAACATCAAGGTGAAAAATGAAAAGAGAAATTGTTCTTTATACACAGTACTAGGTGATAATTATAGGGGGATTAATTACTTCCTGAACAACTACATATATATGACAATACTGTCTCAATTTTGTCAGTTTTCAACAGCTGTCTGAAGATGGGACATACGTAAAATATAACAATCTCATTTGATTACAGAAAAATTGGGAATACAAGTCCAGAGTAAATGTGCAATCATTATTCATCACTTCGGCCTTTATAGACGGGGTTATTTTACCAATCCCCCGCCAAAAGGAGGATCAATGAACACTACAGACAGGTGGCATTTGAATGTTGGTTGCTTGGCGTGTAAGTTGTATTGAAGTGCCCAGTGACCATTAAAAGACAGATGGTCCTCATAGTCGTGAAGTTTAAATATCTATGTTTATATATCTTAACAGTGCGTACCTCTTTGTTATGTTATTATTTTGTAACACCTAACTTAAATCACGACGGTCTTATATATCGTTGTTATTGCGGTTGTTAACACTAATTCATCATGACGGTCGCATCTTATAGAAGCACTGGCAGAGCCAGTCAACTGTGCTTGAGTACACGATGTTAAACAACACTGCGAGGTCAGAGCAAAGAATAGTGCGCCCATAGCTGTTTTTTATAATGACCTTTTGATAAGAATATGATTGAAATACCTAAAAAGCTTTGTTGCAATATTCGATGATTACACTATCATGGATTCTTGAAATTATATGATGGGATGTTAATCAGCAGATGTACTCGGCATTGTTGATTTCCAAGTTATTCTAGTGCGAACACGTTCGCTGTTTACTATTCAGATGGAAAAGTTGTTTTGTTACGTTATACACTACACTACACCACACTACACTACACTACGCTACACTACACTACACTACACTACACTACACTACACTACACTACACTACACTACACTACACTACACTACACTACACTACACTACACTACACTGCACTACACTACACTACACTACGCTACACTACACTACACTACACTACACTACACTACACTACACTACACTACACTACACTACACTACACTACACAGTGATGGGGTCAGATTTCAGAAGCGAAAGAATATAAACCTACCTCAGTCGTTGGTTTATTTTTAAATTGCAAATAATCGGGACACAGCGTTTGTTAAAATGTGTTTGATAGTAGAATAATGAACTCAAACCGATGTTTGAAACCGCTCTTCATATAAAATAAACACACAGCTGAATGCTTACAGAAAGTCAATTACGCCGTCTTGTTATATAAATGACTTTTTAGGTAGCGAACAACGAGGATAAATTGTTATAAAATACGCATTAGCTACAAAGCAAGTGTGCAGTACGTACTGAACCTAGTCTCTGAATCGCCGCATCGATTCTTGCCATTAGGAAAGAGTGTCACAATTATTGCATCGATTTACCTCTAACGATTTACTTACTGAAGACATAGAAAAATGATTCGGGGTATAATAGAGGGTATCCATTAATAGGCATGTAACTATGTAAGTCTGTCTCACTCACGTCACTGACGGATATAAGCTGTTGGTCTCAGGCAAATAAACTACTTGATATTCACAGGGCATACACCAAATCATTAAGTGACGTTCTGACTTTAACTTAAATGAAATTAAACACCTTGCAAAACTCGAGACTAGAAGATTAATTCATTGTAGATGTCACCTACGTTTTTGCTTGAGAAATATGTTCCTCGTAACAGGATCAATTATTATGTTGCTATTTTGTTATAAACCAAGAAAGCATTTATGGTAAATTTATTTTAAACAATATGAGCTTCGATTATGTAATGCATTTCGTGCACTTGTGCTGTGCAAGGTACGGCAAATCATAGTGTGATATAAGCTGAGCAGTAATGGCCGGGCAGCACAAAATAGATTATGTGAAGCTAGTCTACTCTCGACCCGAATACAGATGGAGTTAAATAATCATTTTGGCGGGCGTTTGTTAAGAAGTAAAATTACATTTATAATATATAATAGAAATAACAATAAATATAAATATAAATACAATAAACTCGGTTGACAATAATGTTTTACATTGTAGTTGTTTTTCACCACTTGTATGTACATAGAAAACTAACTATGTGAGTTGGATAAATGTGCTTTTAATGATTGCTTGAAATATTGGGATTGGGAATATTTCCAATATGGTTAGGAAGGCTATTCCACAATTTTGTTCCAGAGTAATCTAGGGAAAATTGACCAAAGGTAGTTCTTTTATGTGGGCAAAGTTGTCATTTGACAATAATCTAGTTTGGTATGAATGGGGTAGATCACTGGGGTATTATTGTTGTATAGATCCTGAATAAACATGCTAGCTGGAGCTTGTGTTGGTCATAAATGTCAAGAACACCCAGAGAGGTCTGCTGTGAGTAAGTATGTCTTAAACATTTTATAACAGTTTCTTTTGTTGTTTATAAATTGCATCAAGGGAATTACGGTAAGTATTACCTCAGACTTCTAAACCATATGATAAATTTGGGGGAAGTAATGAGTTATGTAAGTAACACACCGCACAGCATGTTATGCGCAGACTTGGTATCATGTCTGCAATATGTTTGTCTGAGAGCATTTGAATATTAACTAAGAACATTTAAATTACAATCAACAACGTCCACATTCACACTCTTCCATTGCTCAACACTGAAAACACTATTCTATTGATAGTTCATTCTGCATAATCATAACTATTTTTTTTTTTTTATTATTACACACCTAAATACCGTGGAAGTAGGACTTAATTTGGACAGGGCAAAGATATTGTAAAATGTGTAGGGTTCATTTATAATTTAAATGCGC